AGAACAGATCACATATCTGGAACTGAATATACTGGTGGTGTATGTATACGGAGGAAAATATTCCAAAATTCTCTTTCGACAAAATTACTCTCTTACTTAAGGAAACAATTCTTCATAGATTTCTACATAACATGCAAGCAAAGTACTAACGGACTTTGTTCTGGAAAACTTTTCAAGGATGTATATAGTACACAAGCCTTGGAAGACAGTGTCCCTTCTAAAATGAAAGTGTCACCCTCTGGTCAAAGGTCAAACAAGCTTTCCGCCCATTATAAAAGATTTGAGCTCCTTAAGCTCAAGGTTCTTCTGCTACAAAACTTCCTACACCTGTAGGGGTCATTTAGCCTGTGTCATCAGCATGAATGCTGATACTCTGGCAAATCTGCAGCTGCTGAGTGATAACCCGTCCACCTGGGGCCAGGGAATTCCAGGCGTTCTGCCATCATCTGTGAAACTACAGTGGGCTAAGCCTTCACAGTACTTGACAAGCCGTTCTGTCACTTCCAATTACTCAGCAAACAGTTTCTATACACAAAGTCTAGCCTAGATGAAATACCTGCATGGGCATAATCCGTGGTCTATGTGTATATATATCGATGCATAATTACTGTGCATTTCTTAAAGTTGTGCTCATGTATTTACAAACTTACTTTGTTTTCAACTTGAGTTCTTTGTTTAAAGATAAAATCCATTGCTAACTTCCATCCTCTCCCTTTTCTTCATTTGCTAAGATAGTCAAGTCTCTATTTAATGGTTATGCCACTAAAAAAATAACTGGATATATTCATTTCAGTGTAAAATGTGCTTAAAAACATTAATGACATACAGAAGTTCTGTCAGAAGCAATTGAGATATTTCATTTAGGCAATCATATTACTTCGCAAAAATATTTATGAGCTGCTCAAATTTTCATAATGCATATTCATTGTTACCTACATGTCATAGCCTATTAGCTAACGTAAAGGATAAATTATTTTAATAGCTTCTTTTGATAATGTCAAAGTCAATAAATCCACTGAAAATAATTACAGATTTTGAGTTCCTTTTATATTATCAGGTGTTATTATAGATTAAAACAATTCTAAATGAAGCTGATTAACTGGTTAAGTGTTAACAATGTAGAAAATAGGGAAGCCATTAAAATAAAAAGAAAATGATGCACTAAATATGCAAATGATATACTACCAAGAAACTAGTCTCCCACAAATCCATATCACTTTACATGAGGATTCAAAAATTAGTTTAATGACTATATTCCATGTAATTAAGGAAAGTGACTATAAAAATCTCCAATCTTCTTTGCCTATTCACTCATCTATTGCTATTCACTATATTCTTAGAGAATATAACAAAATTATTTTTTAATGAATTAAATGTCTTCATGAAGAAACAGATACAAAAACTTGTATGTGGACAGACACACACACACTCATGAATACCACCAATTCTTCCATGTTGCAAAATCTCCGGGGAAGTTCTCAAACAATATAAGAGTTTGGAACTCTCTGTGTTTCATAATAAAATAGGCAATTTATTCTAATAACTATATATTTTACAATTACGATAAAATCACTTTAGCAAAAAAATTTTAAAATATTTTATCACATTTTAGGATTTCATCATATCCAATGCTCTCATTAAATGAACACATAATAATAGCTACCAGTATTGTTCATCTGTTATGTTCAAGGCACTGCACTAAGTAGTTTATATACAATCTTATTCAATCCCAGTGACAACCCTGAGATGTAGGTATTATATCTGTGTTTTAAAACGAAGTTAAAATTAAGGGAAGTTAAGTGGTTTTCCTGATGTCATACAATTAGATAGTGACTTGAGTTGTAAATGGACCATCTGTCTGACTCAAAAACCTCGTAACTATTACTTCCTTAAAAGCAACTAAAGTCCATTCTTGGTTCCAGGCTTAACTTTCGACGTCAATTTGGCCTCCCCAGTATGAAGGGATATACTACTCATGCCAAGTCAACTCCTCTAGCACTTACATCAGTAATATTTATTGTAGTAAACTAAGTTCCAACTGCTATACTTGCTGATTCAGTCGTGTCTAAATTCAGCAAAGAATGAAGCGACATGTTCAAAACAACCCTGGAATACCCCTAGAAAAGTACCACAATGATAACCAACCACTTTCCATTATTTCTAATAAAGAATGTATTTCTTCTAGCATTGAAAGACACCACAGCCCTCCAAGTTACTAAGGACTAAGACTGAAATCAGGTGGGGCACCTGGGTGGCTCAGTCGGTTAGATGTCTGCCTTCAGCTCTGGTCATGATCTCAGGGTCCTGGGATGGAGCCCCATGTTGGGCTCTCTGCTCAGCAGGGAGACTGCTTCTCCCTCTGCCTCTGCCTGCCTCTCTGACTACTTGTGCTCTCTCTCTCTGTCAAATAAATAAATAAAATCTTAAAAAAAAAAGACTGAAATCAGGTGCTCTGAACTTCACAAATAGATTTAAGTAATGTGAGTTTATTCTCACATACTACATTCCAGATATGTGTACTCATTGAGCAAAGTATTAAAACTTCAATTATTTGGGCGCCTGGGTGGCTTAGTTGGTTAAAACTTCAATTATTTGTTATTTTGCTCTTCTTTTCCTTAAACATATGTATTCTGCAATACCACCAAATAGTAGTATTAGACCCTCCCGTTTAAGAGAAATAAAAGTAGTTCTGGAAGACATCCTTTTCTTTCTTTTTTTTTTTTTAGATTTTATTTATTCATTTGGGAAACAGATGAGAGAGCACGAGAGAGAGAGCATGAGCAGGGGGAGAGGCAGAGGGAGGGAGAAGCAGGCTCCCCGTTGAGCCAGGAGCCGGATGTAGGGCTCGATCCCAGGACCCTGGGATCATGACCTGAGCCTGAAAGGCAGACACTTAACCATCTGAGCCACCCAGGCGCCCCAAGACATCCTTTTCTAATCCTTAACAATTTTCTTCCAATTTTTCATTTAAAACTTCTTTTATAAATATGTTAATGGAACAGATGTTAATTGTAATTGTGCTAAATTAACAAGGCTTTTCACCTGTAAAGTAGTGTACAACTGGATACCAAGATGCTTTGAAGAGGTACACTTTACAGATTTTTGGGTTTTTCTTCCAAGTGAAAGTTACTGTGATCACAGTGGTCTTCCCCCCCCTCTTTTTTTTTTTTTTAAGATTTATTTATTTTTAGAGAGAGAACGGCAAAAGCGAGATGGAAGGTGGGGGGAAGGGGTAGAGGGAGAGGGCCAGAGAGAATCTCAAGCAGACTCCCTGCTGAGCACTGCCAAGGCAGGGCTCATCTCTAGACCCTGAGATCTTGACCTAAACCTAAATCAAGAGGGGGATGCTCAAAGGACTGAGCCACCCAAGTGCCCCCACAGTGATCTTTCTAAGAAGTAAAACATCAAATTTCCATGGAATTTCTCATTGTTTTCTACTGCCCTCTGCTGTGGTAATCCTCGGAAAAAAACTTTTTAATCTCCCTTCCTCAAGAAAAACTATGACATGGGGCGCCTGGGTGGCTCAGTCGTTAAGCGTCTGCCTTCAGCTCAGGTCGACAGAACCCCACATCAAGCTCCCTGCTCCGCGGGTGGCCTGCTTCTCCCTCTCCCACTCCCCCTGCTTGTGTTCCCTCTCTCGCTGTGTCTCTCTCTGTCAAATAAATAAAATCTTTAAAAAAAAGAAACAAAAGAAAAACTATGACATCTAAAACTGTTGGAATGTGGTATGTAAATGCTAAAAAAAAAATGCTAAAAAATATATATCTTTCTATTTGTAAGTATAGTTTTAATTTTAACAGTTCTCTAAACCTCTTACCAGAATTCCACGAAGAATTTCTCATGTCTACTTTCATGTTAAAATTAAAAAGGTAGGGGTGCCTTGGGTGGCTCAGTTGTTTAAGCCTCTGCCTTCAAAAGGGCATGATCCCAGGGTCCTGGGATCAAGCCGCATGGGGCTCCCTGCCAGTGGGGAGCCTGCTTCTCCCTCTCCCGCTCCCCCTGCTTGTGTTCCCTCTTTCACTTGGTCTCTCTCTGTCGAATGAAAAAAAATCTTTAAAAAATAAAAATAAATAAAATTAAAAAGCGAACGGGAAGAAGTTACTATTGAGTTCAGAGTTGTTTCAGGCAAAGAGTGAAGAGAATCAATTATTTTTACACATGAAGCTGTTTTTTCACTCTCTACCCAGCTATCAGGAAACCTGTCGTAATACTTTAAACACGAATTAGATTTTGAGTCACGTGTATGTAATACTTCACCAGGAAAAACTATCTTGAATAAGCGAATACTCTTACTAAAACAATGTACTCTTAGAAACACTACTCGCATTTCCAAATAACTTTTTCCGATCCTGCTAGATTGAGTATCCAAGGCAAAGAGGGATAACTGAAATTCACAAATTACTATTTTAAATATAGTGATTTCAATCCTCTTAATCAAAGTTTTTAGAGGACTAAGACTGAAATCAGGTGATCTTCACAAATTTACCTAACAAAATTATGAGTTTATTCTCACCGTTACAGGAGTTCAACCTAAAGAAAAACAAACCTTACAGCTTTAAAAATGGTAATTATGCATACAAACGTAAACGAATAACGAAGGAAGCTGAGTACCGAACAGAAAGACCACATAGTTCTCCGTAGGTTTGCAAATACTCCTAAAAGGTATTTTCACATCCAACACACCCCTTTTAGTGACTCCGGGGCCCAGAGCTCGGCCTCCGAGGGTCAAGGGCGCCGTGAGTCTGAAAGGTGTGCGGTGCTCAGGCGCAGAGTGAAAGGGCACGCTTTACTGTTTTTGAGAAAACACCAGGCTAACCCCACATCCGCGACTGCGTGGCCCACCGGCTCCCCAACCGCTGGGCTCTTGCCCGCAAGCCGCCCTCGCCCAAGCCCAGCCGCCCGGCTGCCTAGCAACGCGGCCAGGCTGCCTGGCAACGCCACCCCCCCGGCCCGCCCTAGCCAGCCTGGGCCCACCCGGAAGGCCAAGAGATGCATTGTACCTCTTTCTTCTTCTGTCCTCCCCCGAGCTGGATGCAGAGAAGTAGCAGGAGGAGGAGAAAGGGAAAACTCCCGGTGGGCAGGTATCGCAGCCGCCGCCCCGCCTGCCTCCGGCGTGAAGGAGAGCCCCTGGCACCCATCGCCGCAGGGCAGTGTCTCCTCCACGCTCGGTAACCGTGCGCGCCCAGCTCCTACCGGCGTCCTACTCCTGCCAGGCTAACGGCCGGGAGCCCCTGCCCGTGCCCTCGGGGGTGCCTGCGGCTGCACCAGGGAAGCGGAGGCCGCCGAGGACGCGGAGGAGGAAGCCGACAGAGCATCCGGTTCACCGGGAGAGGGGACCTGGAAAGGCCTGGGATGGGGCAGGAAGTGGGCGTGGCGAGGGAATGGGGGCCTCGTGCACGGCGCGCTGCGCCCCCGGCCAGAGTTCTCCCTGAGACCCACGCGGCGCGGGGCCACGGTTCTCTAGCTGGCCGGCTGAACGCTGCACTGTTACTGAAACCAGTGCGAGGTTCCGGGAATAAGCGAGGGGCCTCTTCAGTCCTGCCGAAGTAAACTCCTGTTTACCTGGAGCCACAGACCTAATTGCCTTCTAGGATAATGGAGGAGCGATTTAAGGAATTAATAAGCACATGGCCCCTGTGGCCAAGGGGCAATCTCCATTTCCATTGGGAGGTTTTTAGAGACACATCTGTGGCTCACATACTGAGCCCTCTCAAGCCTCTAATACAATCCACGTAGTATAATCCCGCGGATGCGCACTAGTCCTACTAGCCGCCTGCAACTTCACAGCTGTTCCTTGCAGCCCCAGTTGAGGGGCCTGAGGAGCCAACCTTCGCACCACTCCTTCCCATTCATTCAGTAACCATGGAGCGCCGAAGTGCAGAGCACTGGACTAGACAAGTGGGAATGCAAAAATGAAAAGGACTTTTAATTCCTGCTCTCTGAACATTTTAAGAACAATAGCAGCAAACCTATCTGTTATGGGTCAAGTACTGTTGTTACAGGATTTCTTTAACTTCGGTGCCGGGTTCTTGGTTAGGCTGCTTGGAAGAATGACGAGGGAGACCAGAGGAAGAGTGGAGGGCAGCAAAGCAAAGTTTATTGAGTGAAAGTACCAAGCTTCCCAACAGGGAGAGGTTCCAAGAGGGTTGCCAACTTGGCGTTTAGATCTAAGGGTTTTTTATGGGCTTGTTGGAGGGCGGTTTTAATCTGATTAACCCTCCATCATCCAGTCAGGTTTTTGCCATCTATCTATCACTTGGAAAAGGGTGGAGGGCTCCTTTCAGGGTGGTGTAAAATCCTTTTGAGGGTGGTTTCCTCTTGGGGGGGGAGGGGGTAAGGGCTTGTTCCTGCCTGCCTTTCTTCCAACTATCCTCCATTATTGTTCTAATGTAGCTTTTATTCTACCTCAAGATTTCTTCTCTTTTATCATGAACATTTCTGATCATGTAATAAAACCTACTGGCCCAGTCTTAAAACAGTATTTCTAACTGCAAAAATTAAATTCATAAGATTACAAAGGAATCAGTTATAATTAAATACCATTATCAAAATTAAAATAATTCACCTCCTTTCACCTGGTGGTTTGTATTTGGGGAAAGCTGGAAAGCAAGGGTAGATGTTAGAACCAATGTATAAACATTCAGACTTCACAGTGTGATTATGATTGACCAAGAGGCACAGAACTGTAGGATAGGTGGCCAACTAAGTAGCATGAGGGCTGAAAATAAATTCTGCAATCATATGAAATCTAGCAGGGTATCTAACAGCAATTTGAATAAATATGGTAATATGATGACAAACTGTTTCAAAATATCTACTACTACTGTACTGTGATATGAAATTATTTGTAATTTCTGCAGGGAACAAAGCCATATGTACTGCTAATACTACCATGCTTTGCTTTCTACTTTATAATTGAAGAAAACAAGATTGTCATAAGAGGTTAATAGAAATACGGTTAAATTTTTTTCAATTCAAGTTTCATAGATGCCCTCAAATTTCATGGACTCCAGATTAAGAACTCCTGCTCCACAACAACCTTATTAGATAAGTCCTATTGTAACAATTTCCACATAAAGAAACTAAGGCCAGGAGATCTAACTCAAAGTCATACAACTAGAAAAAGGCGTACCAGGAATTTGAACTTTGGCAGTCAAGCTCAATAGCCACTATTATATACTATGCTATGCGACCTTTTTAAAAGGAATTTACAAATAAATCTATCTTCCAGGCTTTTGATTTCCCACTATTGTGTGGGCATTTTTGCCCATAGTAACTTCCCCCAAAAGAATAGCCCATTGTTTTTTCCTTCAGACTTGTGAAAGTGGCGTCCACTTTTATCTGTCTGTAACTTTATGGTTTATATGGAGATACACTCAACATAATCAAAATCCACCATCTGCCTCTTCATCTCCCAAATTTATCTTAATTTCTTTTATTTCAATTAATGGTATCACTGTAACCGAACCAACGTGAGTTCACTCCTCGCTGGGTCACAGATAGAAACTACACCGGTTGAGTTGTTGCACAAAGGGAACTTTATTTGCAGTAAATAAGGACATCATAGGAAATAACTTCCAAAGCCGTGACTCCTGGAGCAAGGGTGAATGGGTTCCTTTTGTTTAGGTTTAGGAGGAATATTTTAAAAGGGGATCCTTATTATTGTATATAGAGGTGGGCATAAGGTCACGCAGTGCACCTTAAGGAAACATGCCTGTACATGCATTGTTTAGTATTATAATGAGACAAAGGTAATTATTGGTCATTCTAGAGGCCACTCCATGGTGACCTGCGCAGATACATGATAGGGAGTTACGGTCAAACTTGTCTGAGTGGTCTGGGCTGGCTGGAGGTCTTGTCAGGGCAGTTGCTATTGCCTGAGGGGTAGTTTTGCTTTCCATTTGCCTGAGTTAAGATATAAGGCAGAAGGAAGAGCTTAAGGAAAAATGTAGGACAGAGGGAGGTGAATATAAGCAGTAAAGGTCAGGTCTTGGGATCTAGTTTGTGACACCATCGTCCTCCTAATTCCCAATTTTCAGAGCTTCCAAGCTGCCCATTCTCTCCAACCATACTGCCATTGTATTTGGTTTCCAACTTCCTCTGCCTCCACAGTGTCTTAAGAATTTGTTTTCTTCTTTTTATTATGTAACTCCAGCATTCATTAGACAGACATCGGACATCATTATTAGTCCAATCTCCCCTTGCTTCTAATCTTACCATCCTCCTCTACCAGCCTAATCCAAGACTTTTTAATCCTACCTTCTTGCATTCTATTCTTGGTAAATTAGTCAGAGTGATCCTTTTAATACATAAACCAGTGCAAAGTATTTTCTCTGTCCTCAGTATAAAAATCAGTCTTTTCCACGCCCTCAGGACGCTACTGTTACTTGGAGCCGGGTTACCTTTCCAACCTCATCCCCTACTTCTGCTTTCTCACTCTGCTCCAGCGGGGCTGTTTCCTTTTCCTTAAATACATCAAGCATACTCTGTCTCTGTCCTTCACACTGTTGTTCCTTCGCCCTTCTCACAGAGATAGATGGTCACGTGGCAAACTTTGTCACTTTATTTACGTTGAGGCTCAGAGCTCCTAAAATGTCATCGTGAGATAGGGAAACTGAAGGGAACCCATGGGGGGAAGAAAACTGGCTTTTTAGCTCCTTTTCCTGCTTCTGTTCTTTGCTAGGATGTGCACCCCGCTCCCCCCACACACACACACACACACTTGCCTTAATGTATGTCCTCCTTGTAAAGGACAAGGAGTTAATGATTTTTTTGGAGTCTTCCAGCACAATAGATAACATCTCAGGAATGACTGGGTAGGAATGACCAGGCAAGGCCATCATGTGTGTTTTCTAGACCACTGGCACTAGACATCTCAACACCAAGACCTCCTGGCTCCAGGGAATCAGTGACTTATGATAGACATCTGGACCCTGTTCTCATTCAGACTGCTTGTAGATGCCTGAGAGGACACATGCACCAGACCACAATCATCAATAAAAACCCTAGACCCCAAACAAAGGAGAGACTCTCTCTCCTTTGTTTTCCAAGTCTCCTGGACACTGTCTGTACTTGCACTCTCTACATATCTTCAATAAACTCTGCTGCACTTCCTACTGGTTCACACTTGATTTCTATCCTGCTGCGCTTAGCAAGGACCCTCTTGGCTGGTCCTGCTGGACCCCCTCTTGGTCCTCGGGACCCAGCCTGCCTGCATCAGTCTCATCTCTCAGACAACCCTTTCTAAAAACTAAACTCCTTACCCTACACACACACACACACACACACACACACACACACACACACACACACTTAACTTTTTTGTAACATTCATCATTATCTGAAATTAAGCTATTGATTCATTTATTTAGGATTAGCATGTAAGCTCGGTAAAACAGGGCTTTCACCTACACTGTCTAGAATAATCCCTGTTTTACAGTTTTTATAATATCTATCACTAACTGACTATTATGCCTTATGCATTTCTATTCATTTATCTGTCTTTCCCCCCAATGGAGTGTAAACTCCATGAAGGCAAAGACTTTGTTTTCTTTGAGTCCACACTATACAGAATAGTGCATTTGTTGAATGAATGAATGCATCCAGCCATTCTCTGTTTATTCCCTAAAGTACAATACTAAGCATGTCACTGTCTTTAGTCCACAGACTTTCAGTAGCTCATCCCTAGGTTCCAAATGAGGTCCAAACTCTGGATAATGGCTTGGAGCAAAGTTAAAGTCTTTACTCTTGTTTGAAGCAGCCTTCAAACTGGAGTTTACACCAAAGACTACATAGACAAATAGTTTTAAAAGAATTCACTTCCAAAATCTCAGCAATCCTGTGTTCCTTCCTAAAATTGATGGACTTGGAAGAAGTGCCTGAGGTGCAGGCTAACTCTTACTGGTTCTTCTTGCCCAGCTTTGTTAGGACAATTGCCTTTTATCTTAGCTAAAGAAGGAGATCTCTCCCTCCATCCCCATTTTTGCTTTCAACAGTATTGAAGGAGGACATGCTCCAGTTATCAGCTATAGATCATTTAAAAATTGTTTGGGGAATAGAACACTATGTAATTTTTGGCCCTTTACTCAAAAGGAGTTCAAGCAATTGACTGATATTGTGATAACAGACTCCTATTCCTGACTCCTTATTGTAATCATAGTTCTTTAATACTTACTATAAACAAAAATTAAAAATAAGAATAAAATGATGCTGAATACTATCTTGTTCTAGCAGTAATTAATATTTATCCACAGACATGTAAATGAATTTTTAAAACCTTAATTATTTCTATAAGTAATGTTTTCCCAATACACTTTTGTTTTGCATT